GAACGGCCTTTCTGGCTCCTGATCAAGCTGCTTAATGCCCATGATCCCAAAGACTCAGAAACAAATCTCGAAACCCAACGGCTTTTGGCAGAAATGCGTCCGGACCCCACAGTAGGTTACTGTTGCCGGGCCACCCCAGGGGGGAAAGAATGTTGTCCCTCCACCTGCTCCCCCTTGGAGGCTCGGTGGCCGCCATCTTCCAGAGGCCATTGGACAGTCAGGTTTTGGCCCGCAGTGACGAGACATGTTGGGCCTCACGGGATAGGGGTGGAGTTGGTCCTTTCCTCCCTACCCCAACGAGACCCCAAGTCATTGCCCACGAGCGGCCTCTCTGGCTCCTGATCAAGCTGCTTAACAGCCATGATCCAAGAGACACAAAAACAAATCTTTGAACCCGGTGGCTTTTGGCAGAAATGCATCTGGATCCCGCAGTAGGTTACTGTCGCTGGGCTACCCCAGGGGGGAAAGGGTGTTGTCCCTCCACCAGCTCCCCCTAGGTGGCTCAGTGGCCACCATCCTCCAGAGGCCACTGGACAGTCAGGTTTGGGTCCTCAGTGACTAGACACGTGTGGCCTCATGGGATGGGGGTGGAGCCGGTCTTTTTCTTCTCGTCCCAATGAGACCCCGAGTTGCCGCCCATGAACAGCCTTTCTGGCTCCTGATCAAGCTGCTTAATGGCCATGATCCCAGAGACTCAGGAACAAATCTCGGAACCCAGCAGGTTTGGGCAGAAATCCCTCCAGATTTAAGTGTTAAAATTTTGGAATTTCAAAATTGCATGACCACTACTGTAGCCACACGACATCATATGTTAATTATAACCAGTAATAGAAAACAAATTGTCTACTGTTGCCTTTTCAGCAGATCTGAGTGTTAGGGTAAAATCTCAAATAATAATGGTGGGTCTGGTGTCAAAATATTGAATGTGATCAAAGTAGAGCGAGTAATGTGGAAATCATCTGCCCCACAGGTAGGGGGAGGGTGAAGGATGGGGGTATACTGGGGTTATTGGGGGTGGAGATGGACACTGGTGAAAGTACAAGTGTTTCATTGTATGACCGAGATTTAAATCCAAAAGCTTTGTAACTTCTTTCATGGTGATTTAATAAATAAAATTATAAAAAGTGAAAAAAAAAAGAAAGTAATCTGGCCTGAGGACTGTAGTCTTTAATATATATAGCAAGATGTCCCTGTTAGGGCGTGGATCAAGATCTCCCTTTAATGACAAAGAGACTCCAGAGACTGCAAACAGCAAGCAGGGTTTATTGTAAGACTGGCTAGCCAGGGTCGAGCCGCAGACACGCAGGTCCGGCAGGTTGGGCAAGATCCCGAGCTTCTTCAAAGGAGATCTTATATAAGCCTTCACTGGCCGTTATAGCAGAGCCCACACATTTCATGGCCAATAGATTTGTAACAACATATACTTTCTTAAACAATCCATTTAAAAGTACATCACTTCTTAGCCTATAGATTCAAAGATCAGCATTTACATACATGGGCATTGTGGCTAGTGGGTATCTCATAACTCAGACATCTGGTTCTCTTCCATGTCTACCTGGCTCCCCTTGATTTACAGCTCAGGGCTTTACTAGGAAGGGGCAGATAAGGAAAAGTCAACAGTGGAAGAAGGATTTACAACTCAATAAGGAAGAGTCAACAGTGGAGGCAGCTAAAGGAAGAGTTACTAACTAACAGACCCTAGCTCTGGAATTTCCCTGGGGCCCCACGGTACTTTACAGTCCCCAGGAAGAGCCAACCTTTAAGATTAATATATCTCTTACTGTGTTCATACAAAATGACTAGAAGTATTATAAGAAATAAATTTACTATGATTGTTTAAATGGATTACAAGCTGAGGAAAGAAGAAAACAATACACCCTAGATGGAATACCATCCTTGAGCGAATCTCCTAGTAATTTAGAGTGCTGAACCCTCAGATGAGATTTTTGTCCTTGAGTTAATCTCCTAGAACTTCCCGTGAAGGAGTGGCTTTACATCTGTTATGACAATGTTCGACCCCACCTATGTGTACCCCCACCCTTCATGATTTCTATATAACTATGCTGTAAGGAGTAAAAGGGAACTAGACGAGGACTAGATAAGGACTATGATGGGGGTGAGGATGAGGTAACAATGATGACTAGGACTATGACCAAAACTATGACTACAATTGTGCAGTAAGGGGAGAGATTGAACTACAATGAGGAAGAGAGAAATAAACTGTCTAACAACCAGCCTGGGGCCTTGTTTCTTCATTCCCCTGGTCCTTCATACATCCACCGCTGTGGGCCAGCTCTTGGTTACCAGATGCTAGAGTCCTTCATGCCAACGCCTTTTCCTCAAAACACACTCATTATGTATCAAACAGAACAACAGGTAATATAATCTGTCCCAAGTGAAGCTAAAATCCTACAACTTTGAGGAAAGACAGCAGGTTGGAAAAAAACTAAAGCATATGAAAAAGTAGGCCTTCAAAATTCTTAGTTTATTTTATTTGGTTTAGGGCCATATCTGACAGAGATCACTGCCGGCAGTGCTCTGGGAAACCACCTGAGTGCTGGGGATAGAAGGTGGATCTCATGCACTCAAAATGCATTCTAGTTCTTTGCCTCCTCTCCCAGGCCCTAAAACCATTACAGAGCTTATAGGCTGGGGGTGTAGCTCGGTGGCAGAGTCCTTGCATGAACTCTGGGTTTGATTTCTAGCATCACAGGAAGACTCTAACTTGCCACAGCTACACTTTGTGATGAATTCCCTACCACACTTTGAATAAATATCTTCTTCTTGACTGTGCTCTCTGCTCAATTTATCATTATCAAACAAAACACTCAGATGTGAAAAAATCTTATTTAACTCTAAATTAACATTTTAAAATTTAATTGATATGTATCCTTAGGTATATATTCTTCCCAACTGAATTTATTACTAGTTGAAAAGAGGCTATTTAGGAGCCAGAGCGATAGTACAGCTGGCAGGGTACTTGCCTTCTTTGCACATGGTTGACCAGGGTTTGACCTCCAGAACACGAAGCGGTTTCTCCAGTCCATCAAGAGTGATCCTTGGTGGGCTAGAGAGTTAGTACAGTGGGGAGGGCATTTGCCTTGCACGCAGCCAACCCTGGTTTGATTTCCAGCATCCCATATGGTCCCCTGAGCACTGCCAGGAGAAATTCCTGAGTGTAGAGCCAGGAGTAACTCCTGTGCATCACCAGATACGACCCAAAAAGGAAAAAAAACAAGAGTGATCTCTGAGTACAGAGCCAGGAGTGAGCCACCAGCACCACTGGGTGTGGACCAAAACACAAAAGGAAAAAAAAGAAGGAAGGAAGGAAATTAGCCTAAATGAATCACGTCTTATATTTATGAAAATAGTATTGTAAGGGTGAAACTGACACCATGACTAGGTATAGAAATCAGCAAAATCAAGTAGGCCTGGAACTGAAGCAGTCTCGGTTTCCCAGCAATGAAACAATGCATAACTAGCCAACCTGAACCAACCTGAGAAGTTCCTGGACCCAATAAATGGGCTCAATCAATCACTATGCCTCAGTTTAAATGCCTCAGAAATTATCTTTTGTTAACCTAAGGAACTAGTAGCTTATGTGACCACAAACTGCTACTGAAAATTACTGTTAAACTATTGCCTGACCACTCTTACCCTAGACACTTGCCAAAACCCTTGCTTAGTTAGTAACTAAGAGATTTTTCTGAAACAATAAGGTACCTACTGCTTATGTAATCAAACCATATATAAACTACTTGCACTTGAAGGTTGGGGTCACTATGGAGAGACCAGTCTGGGGGTGAGATAGTTGACCCCAGTAAACTGGAGTAAAACTCATTCTGCTTTTCTTTTATAGTGTCCGTTTCTCTGTCCGCCTGGCTACTTGGGAACCCATAGTCCCAGGCTTAACAGTATTTTCTTACTGTGTTTGGTTTGGAAGCCACACCAGGTGGTACACAGGTAATGGGTTCTCCAAGTGGGGGAGGCTCCTGGCAGTGAGGGACTGAACACTAGTCTATGAGCACTAGCCCTTAAACTATCTCCCTGCCTCTCCCCAGTTTTATTTTTAAATATTTTATTACATATCTCATACACTGCCACTTGTTATATATTATGTTCAGTCACCATGGAGAAGACTTAATAATTTAATTGATTTTCATCTTAGTGCCTCTAGTTTTTCAAAAACGTGTTTGCGGGCTGTAAAGAGTGGATAGGGTAGACCCGACTTCATGCCTGGCATGCTATATGTGGTCCCCGAAGCACTACCCCAAGTGATTCTTGAGTGCAGAGCCAGAAATAACTCCTAGAGTGGCCCAAGAACAACAACAAAAAAAAACAACAAAAAGGGGCTGAGCTGGGATGCATACCCTGTGGTTCTCGGGACTATTTCCACCTGTGCTCCTAGTTCACAGAATTCACACTGCAAGAGGTGGCACAAAAAAGACAGTCGACAGATGGTTGGGTTTTGATTTTTATAATGTCGTCTAGTGTTTTAAAATATTTTAATTTGCTCAAAATCAGACAATTTCCATGTAAAAATCCAAACTTCCGGGCACACGCTTTTAAAGAAATCGTACGGGGTCCATATTTTTGGTTGCTGTTTTGGTTAGGGGCCACACCCTGCTGTGCTCTCGGTTTAATTCCTTGAAGCGCAGGGGAACATACACGGTGCCAGGGGCCGAACCGGGGTCGGCAGCGTGCAAAGCCGGAACCTAACCCACTGTACTCCGACTGGGTCCACTCGGATGCTTTTTATCACGAAGCCAGGAGCCGTGGCTCAGCGGAGAAAAGCAGCTTCGGTGAATTGGCGAGAATTTGGCGGGAAAAGAAAAACGCCAAAGGAAGTGATGTACACAGCGCGCGCGGGGAGGCACGCCCTTAGGAGCGGAAGTATTGTTCTGATTGGTTGTCTTGGCGAGACCCCGCCCCCCCTCAGCACCCTGCCGCTTCCGGCTCCCTCTCTACGGTGTGTTTTGATCCTCGTAAAAATGGCCGCCGAGACCTCCGTTCCCATTGGTGGCCGAGCCCACGTTTTCCCGTGCTTTAGGGACGCTGGGGACCGGAAGGGCGTCGTGTTTACGTGCACTGATTGGCTGAGAGAGAAACGTTCTGGGCGCTGATTGGCTCCGTCTTTCGCGGGAAGTAGTTTGTGGGGCCCGCGAAAAGTCCGGAGCGCGGCGGCAGCGACCCGGTTTGGAGGTACTGCGCGAACCCACGGGAGCGGCACCTTCCGGACGTTTTCCACCAGGGAGTCGTGGCGGAGATGTGGAACAGTAATGACGGGCGGGACGGAGAGGGAGACTCGCCGGGGAGAGCTGGTTGGAGGGCGGGGGTCGGCGTGGCGCTGGGGGCAGGGAGGGCGGGAGGCAGAGTCGGGGGATCGGGGCGTCCGGGGGCTGGGCGAGGTGGCGGTGAGGAGCAGGGGACCCTGGGGAGGGTCCTGGGCGCGGAATGGCCTTGGGCGCCCCCGTGGCAGCGGCGCGGGTCCTAACACGGTGCTTGCTTGAAACCAGGTGGATTTGAAAGCTACGGCAGCTCCTATGGGGGAGGTGGCGGCTTCACACAGTCCACTGGGGGCTTCGGATCGCCCACGTCCACCCAGCCCGAGAAGAAATCGGTAGGTGGTCTTGTAGCCTGTCCCCCCCAGGCTTGCCACTCTCATTTCAGGCGCGATAGGATTTCAAGCCAATTGATGATGTACCATCAGCTCATCGACTGTTAGAATTCACTGGCGTTTGTTTAAAGGAATTCGCTGTTAATTTTGTATCTTCTGTTTCTTTTGCCTTTGGTTTGAATTTTGCCGGTCTAGCTAATGAATCAACTTTATGGAAAAAAAAACCCCAACTAAGTGAAAAGTCGAGTTTCCGTTCTTGATGTACTCGAAGTCGATTTTAAGTGAGGTTCAGTGAGGTCTGTAATGCAGGAAATGTTGGTCTCTGTGGACACTGGAGTCTGTGGCCTATCATGACTCTGCCACTACCTGCCAGAGAACTTTTGCAGCAATTGTTTAACTTTCTTGGCAGTCTTGTTTCGCACCTGCTATAGGAGATGCAGAATTACAAACTGCAAGGTGGAGGTGAGACAGTGCCATGTATAAAATGGCTGCCCCAGAGTTCTGTAGAATAAATAGAAGAACCTGAGCCTCCAAGCCACCATTCAGTTTTTGCAATCCTTTTCTGCTTTTTTAATGGGTAGTGTTCGTTTAGCCCGGCAATGTGAATCCTATTGCCCCTGGACTTTTTCATTTGATCATGGTGCAGGTATTATTGATACCTGCACTATTGATATCACAGGGTGCTTCCGAGAATTGATAAATAAGGAGGGGTATAGGAATATGCCCTATGAAAAGCCGTCCAAATACATCTGAGTCATTCTTTCAGAAGTGAATTTGTCTATACCAAGTGCTATTCGTTTCCTGGCCGACCCGAGTTCGATTCCTCCACCCCTCTCGGAGAGCCCGGCAAGCTACCGAGAGTATTCGATATGCCAGACACAGTAACAACAAAGTCTCCAATGGAGACGTTATTGGACCCGCTCGAGCAAATCGATGATCAACGGGAGGGCCTTTACTTTACTTTTTTACTTTATTTTAAATACAGGCTTGGGGGCTGGGGAGATAGCTTACACGGCTAGAGCACATGCTTTACTAATACTGTTCATTCTGGGGTGTTTTCTTGATAAGAAAGAATTCATTGGTAATTCCCATAGGTTTGAGCTTTGTTGTAACTTGCTTTTTCAATTTTTCACGTAAGTTCTTTTTGTTTTGTTTTTTCGAGGCCCATCTGGTATTGCCTGGGGCTTACTACTGGCTGTGCTCAGGGATCAGTCCTGGTGGTGCTGGGGACCCATAGAAGGTGTTGGGAATCCCGAATGCAAGGCAAGCGCCCTACCCACTGTACTGTCTCTTCAGACCCAAATTAGTTCCTTGTAATTCAGGAAGACTTCTTGTTTGCTCTGTTATACTGCGGAGGCTCAAGAGATTAAGGGAGTTTCTAAGAGAAGCTTAGTAAATGGAACCAGACTCTACATAGGTGATACTGACCAGTCTGAGATATAGCCAGCAACCTTTCTCTAGCAGTTTTCTTTTGTCCTGAAAGACCAGAATCTCCAGTCTCTTAGGCATATTCTCCTTGAAACAGAAGAGCGAACCCAGAACATAGTTCTTTTTCAGGGTCAGCCCCTTGAACTGTCTCTCTAGTCCCAGATAGCTGGATTTTTTTCCCCTCCTCCTTAAGCTTAAATTTTCGTGGGGAGCGGGGGTCACACCCAGTGATGCTCAGGGGTTACTTGGCTCTGTGCTTGGAATTACTCCTGGTGGAATTTTTAAATCTCTAAATGCTGATACACATGTAACTTTACTGTGGTGTAGAACGCCATAAAGCAAACTGCTGATTCAGTTCCACCGTTACTAAAAGTTATCAAAGATACAGAGTGAGGAACAACAGCTGACTTCATAAATGCATATTTATTAAGTGCTTCCTGTGTGCCAGTTTGAATCTGGATACTTCACTAAATATGTAATCTACACAATGATGTTATCATTCCTGGCAAGGAAATGAGTAGTAGAGGAACATGAACAAGCCCACTTTGCTCCTGAATGGTCGGACCCAATTTTCTTAGTGTTAGTGTTTTGGTTTGGCTCACACTTGGCAGTGTTCTTATGTAGAGCCATAATCTTAGCCCTAGAGGTTGGCTGCTATCTTTTTTGGCTTGTCTTCTTTACTTTTTATCATTCTTTGAGTACTCAGCATTCAAAACTATGCTTCAGCGAAGTGAAGTGTTGGTGGTAGTGTGGTTTTGCAGCATCTGCTCTATCCCTGAAGGCTAAGCATCTTTCCTGTTGGTTGAGAGGGAGAAGGCTCACTTGCAGTTGCCATTCTCTCTGTCTTGTGTTCCCTCGGAGAGTCTGGGAGTGCGGATTTTCCTTCAGCTTGTTGATATACATTCTTTAGCTAGTCATTTGTTATTTGGGGGCTACACCTAGCTATGGGCTGGAGTGATAGCACAGCGGTAGGGCGTTTGCCTTGCGTGAGGCCAACCTGGCAGACACAGGTTCAATTTCTCCGTTCCTCTTGGAGAGCCCGGCAAGCTACCGAGAGTATCTCGCCCGCACGGCAGAGCCTGGCAGGCTACCCATGACGTATTTGATATGCCAAACACAGTAACAAGTCTCACAGTGTTACTGGGCCCGCTCGAACAAAATGATGAACAACGGGAGGACAGTGACAGTGACCTAGCTATACTTATGGCTTCCTCCTGGCTCCAGACTCCTGGATCACTACTGGAAGAGCTCAGAGGATTATGTGGGATCCATGTGTAAGGCAAGTGCCTTATTCACCGCACTGTTGCTCCAGCTCCTCCTCTTTTTATTTATTTTTATTTATTTATTGGCTTTTTTGGGGGTCACACCCAGATATGCACAGGGGTTACTTCTGGCTTTACACTCAGGAATTACTCCTGGTGGTGCTCGGGGAACCATATCGAGTGCTGGGAATTGAACCCGGGTCTGTCGCGTGCAAGACAAACACCCTACCTGCTTTGCTATTGCTCCAGCCCCCAGCCCCTCCTCTTTAGCCACTTTTGGGGATGGATGGGGGGATTCGGGCCACATCTGGCGGTGCTCAGGTATTTTTCCCAGCTCAATTCAGAGAGCCTGTTCCTGTTCCAGAAAGGAACCTGTGTTGTCTCTCTGGCCCACCGCCACTTGTTTTTTAAAGATTAGGTTTATTATTTTGGAGGATGGGGGGGTGATTGGGAGCCACAGCCTATTATTCTCAGAAATTACTCCTGGCTCTGCTTAGTGATCACTCCTGGCATATGCAGTGCCGAGCATCAAACCACGGTCAGCTGTGAAAACAATCTCCTTACTTCTACTCTCTGGTCCCATAGTCACATTTTTGATTATTTTTTGTTTTGTTTTTGCAACACACTCAGCAGTGCTCCAGGGCTTATTCCCCCTAGCTGAGGGATCACTCCTTGAAGGGCTCAGGGGACCATATGTGGTACCATGGAAGGAACCTGGCTCAACCACATGCAAGGCAAGTGTTACCGACTGTACTATCTCACCAGCCCCTACTTTTATTTTTTTATTTTTTTCTGGTTTTTTTTTTTTTCTTTTTTTGGGTTTGGGTCACACCCGGCGATGCACAGGGGTTACTCCTGGCTCTGCACTCAGGAGTTACTCCTGGCGGTGCTCAGGGGACCATATGGAATGCTGGGAATTGAACCTGGCAAGGCAAACGCCCTACCCGCAGTGCTATTGCTCCAGACTCACCAGCCCCTACTTTTAAATTTTTTTAAACTGTCACTTTTTTCATGCTTCAGGGTCCAGCCTAAGTGGTCCCTTTTCTTGAAATTGCCAATAAATTCTGAGATCCCGTTCAGCACATTCGTTCTTCAGGGTATCAAAATCAGGTTTGTTCACTTCTGTTCCTAGCCTCAGACTGTGTTTAGAGAAAATCCTATTTTATTCAGTATCACCCAGTCAAACCCTGGCCAGTGGGCAGAATCAGATTATGTTGTCAGGATGTGATTTGAGTTTCCTCACAAGGTACTCTTCTGCCAGTAATATCTTGTTTCTTCCCTTTAAAAGATGTTCAGTGGGACTAAGCATTTATCCATTTTCCTCAGAATTATTATCTAATTATTAGAACACATGTCTTAAAGGCAGCTCAGTATTATTTTACCATGAAATAGTATAACTATAAGGCTCTGTCTCTATTTCTCCAGCCCTTCTAAATAATTATGTCAACTTGGGGCAAGCAGAGGATAGGACTCTTGCCCTGCATGTGGCTGACTTCAGTCCCTGGCACCCCAAATTGTCTCCCAGGCACCACCAGGATTGATCCCTGAACTCAAAGCCAAGAGTAAACCCCGAGTACTGCAAGATGCAGCAAAAACCCGCTCCCTTCCCCACCCCCCTGGGGGAAAAAATGCCATCTCTTTGGTGGGATGTAGCCAGCTCCAGCTTGCCATTATACTCAAGCTGGACTTTCCTCTGTTTTGTCGGGGAGAGGAAGGTTTGTGCCACATCTGGACTCGGGATCTTACTAGGCAGGTGGCTTAACCCATATGTTGTCTTTCTGCTCCCTTCACTCTCCTTACATTTTTCTTTTTTAATTTTGGTCCAGGCTTTGCCATGTGGGTGAGATACAGTACCTAAGCCTGGCAAGCTACCTGTGATGTATTCGATACGCCAAAAACAGTAACAACAAGTCTCATGATTTGTTGTGAGATGTTACTGGTACCTGCTTGAGCAAATCGATGAACAACGGGAGGACAGTGACAGTGAATTTTGGGCCACATCCAGTGGGCTTAGGAGATTGTCATGCTGGTGCCTGACCCTGGTCTTCCCATGTGTCAGGCGAGCTTTGCATTTCAGAGGCCCTGTTGAGTTGTCCGTCCATATCCTACAGTGTCGCATTTTTTAACTTTATGACCTTGACCATTCATTTGATGTAAAGATTATATGTTGACTTAAGTGTGGGCAGGGGCACGCTTGATAGTGCTTGGGGCTGTTTCCAGGTCCTGCTTGAGGGACCACGAAGTGATCAAACCCGCAGCTCCCACATGCGGAGATATGCTGCAGCCTTTTGAGTCATCTACCTGGCTTCTCGATACTCATCTTGAAGTGCTTAGCGATGGTGTGTGTTAAATGCATGATAGCTACTGTCTTCAAGGTTGGGTTTATGCCAATTTTCTTTACAGAGATCCCGAACACACCACATTGTACCCTGTACCATCTCTCAGCTCCTCTCTGCTACTACGATGGATGATGCATTCAAAATTGGCCATGTTGAGATTTCACAGGTATCGTGCATTATTATTATTTATTTTTTGGTTTTGGTGATGCTCAGGGGTTACCGCAGTCAGGAATCACTCCTGGCGGTGCTTGTGGGACCATATGAGATGCTGGGGATCGAATGTCGGTCAGCCATGTGCAAGGCAAACACGCTACCTGTAGTACTATTGCTCCATCCTCATGCATTTGTTAAACTGTAACTTCATCTTAGGAAAATTGAGATAAAATGAACAACATTTAATACACGAGTGTAGCTTTGGTTTCCAAGACCAAACTTTTTCTTTTTATATAGGTCTCTGTTGTGGGGATAATCAGACATGCAGAGAAAGCTCCAACAAACATCGTGTACAAAATAGATGACATGACAGCTGCACCCATGGATGTTCGCCAGTGGGTTGACACAGATGTAAGAAGCGGGGTTTTTTTTTTGTTGTTGTTGTTGTTTTTTAATCAGGTTGGGGTTACATGGCATTTTGGATAAATAAGATCAAAGGCACAAACTAACATAAATGCACTCAATCCCATAAAGATTAGTACATTTGTTCTCATAGAAGTTTGAAACTTTTTTCTTTTGGTGGGGCACACCCTGAGGTCCCAGGGGTCACTTTTAGCTCAAAGGTCCATGTGATACTGGGAATCACACGCGAGGTTCCTGCATATGAAATACATGTTCCAGCCTATAGAGCTATGTCCCAGCCTCCTGTCTTATTTATTGGGGAGGGGCGGGGTGGGAGATACATCATACCAGCTGTGCTCAGTGCTTGCTCCTGGTTCTGTCCTCAAGGATTGTACCTGGCGGTGCTGGGGATGGAACTGAGAACAGTCATATGCAAGGGAAGCACTCTACCTGTTGTGCTGTCTCTGTGCCCCCACCCCTATTTTATTTTTCAAGTTTTACTCGGTTTAGGTCATTTCCCCTTGGTGGTGGTGACTTGGGGTACATGTCCTTGGCGGTGCTTCCGTGCCTTGGTGCTCACTAGGGTCACACGCCTCATTGTGCTCTCTGTTGCACGCTTAGCTGTGACCCTGGGGATCACAAGCAGCAGTGCCACTGGGGTGGCAGTGCATTTTGCTCAGCTGAGGCTGAGCACCAAAATCTTCACTAAACTTCTAGGCCAAATATCCCTGGAAAAGGCCTCGAGTCCCCCAGCACTTCTCAGGGAGGCCCCTGTTTAAGAGAAAGTAAATATGGAAAAGCTGGGCAGACTCAGACGAGTTAGTGCTGTGTTAGATTCCTTTAGTTCTCTCTTTAACTTGTATTTTTTTTCTGTACAGATTTAGAATTTTTAAAGAGGCTGAAACTACTAAAATCTTAATCAGTTTATCTTGTATCTGTTAGGACCCTAGTGGGGAAAACACGGTGGTTCCTCCAGAAACATACGTGAAAGTGGCCGGTCATCTGAGAGCGTTCCAGGTAAAACTTAGGAGCTAAAATGGCAGTATTTATTTGCATGAAGCAAGATTTGGGTTCATGCCTGAGTTTAGACAGCACTTAACATTTTCATCCTCAGAGCTGTGACTTGAAGCTAAATGACATGTAATGAAGCCAGTTTTTACCATAGGCTGATTGATATAAAGTTAAGTGTCTATAGCTTATATCTGGTCAGCAGAACTGGATTTTTGAATAAAACGTCAGAAGTAACCATAGTTAGTAGTATGCAGTCCTTCATATTTGCATTTTCTAGTCTCCTTTTTTTTTCCCCTTCAAGTGAAAACAGGTTTTCTTTGGAAATTTTGAGGAAGCACAGGGAGTAAGAAAAAGAGTAATACACTTTAGAGAATATGGGCTTCATCAAAGGTGGAGAGAGCCCCCAACCCACATTTTCTGTTCTGTGTTGGGGGCAAGACTCGCTAGCGCCTCTCCCTGAAGCTCTGGGCACAGTGGGTGGAAGCCCTGGATACGACCCCCTTCCACCTGGGGTGCACTCATAGACATGCTTGTGCACTTAAACGTGCTACCTAACCTGATATGCACATCTTGGGATGTGGCAGTGGACCTGAGGATACCCACACATAGAGTGGCCGCAAAGGAGAATGGATTTACCCCTGTGGCTCTGATCGAGCTCATGTTAATTGAGGTATAACACATCTATTCAACTGGCAAAATACTGTATTTTGCCAGCCCAGAAAAAGGGCTCTAGTGCTTGCTTTGGCAACTCATAAACCAAGGAGAGTCAAGTGTTTTCACCTGAAGTTGACTTGAATGTGCTAATCTTTCATTTGCATTTTTCTCTTTACTAGAACAAAAAAAGCCTCGTTGCCTTTAAGGTCATCCCCCTGGAGGATATGAATGAATTCACCGCACATATTCTGGAAGTGGTCAATGCACACATGATTCTGAACAAGGCTTACAGCCAGGTGAGCACCTTTGTCTAGTCTCTTACTCTTTCTTGGAAGAGCGCAGGCAGTCTGAGCTCTGACTTTGATTTCCGTGACATTTTGTTTGATTTCATTTTTGACTTTTATCAGCAGTGCTCAGGGGCTTCTGGCTCCAGGCTTTGGGGACCATGTGATGCCTGGGATTGAACATGGGGTACTTGCATGCAAAACAAGTATTCCAGCTCTTTGAACTGTGTCTCTGGACCCTTCCTCCACTGCTTCCTATATTCTTTTGTTTGTTTTCACTATAGTTTAGGCAACTTGTTTACAATATTGTTAACACTGGCATTTTGAAAGGTTGAGCCAGGAGTTAAGCATCTTTCAGGTTCCTCAGACCTATGAGTGCTTCTGGCCCAGTTAACGTGAATGGCTGCGTCCTTAGACAACCTATCAGAGTAGAAGCACGATGATAAGCTGAGCCTTTAGCTCCAGACCATATGCAGAGAATCCCCAAGTTGAACAGCATGCTGCTGCTTTACTGCCAGCCTGTTGGGTAATGAGGAAACGTCATGGAGATAGCTCAGCGATTAGGGGCACTTACTTTCCATACACCAAGACCCACGTTCAGACCCTGGCCCCTGACATGGCTCTCCAAGCACTTTTGGGGTAGCCCTGGAGGCCCCCAGCTCAGCAGAGCCGTAGCAACTCTGCATCCTTGAACCTGAATATTGAACCACCCCGCCTGCTTGGCCCAGTGTCACTAGGAGTGGCCCCAGCCCCCTTAGTACTGCTTGGGAGGCCTTCCCCCAACAAAACAAAAATTATACACTGGATTTTGTGTGTGTGTGTGTCCCTAATACGGTATCTTTTGCTTTATGTTAAAACTTTTTCAAGACTATATTTTTTAATTGCGTGAAATTAATTTGGTAAGGTCATATAGGACCAAGGAAAGGGTTTGTTGAATCTAGTACTGAAATATTGATGGTTTTGGTAACGAAAGGAAGAATTGGTTATAGTAGGAGAGACTAGAGAACTCATGGGCCATTACAGAGGGTGTCATATCCTATTCTGTGCAGGAACACTTGAGTAATCGGGAAGCAGAGAGAAACTTATTCCTGCATTTCAGAACCATTTACTGAGCGTCATAACATTCTAATCATTATTCTGTATCCTTGTAATACAGCATTAGCAAGTGGATAAAGTGGGGACGGAGCAGTGGTACAGTGGGTAGGGTTTTATCTTGCACGTGGTTAACCCGAGTTCGATCCCAGCGTCCCATATGGTTCCGAGTGCCACCAGAAGTGAGTGATTCCTGAGTGCAGAGCCAAGAGTAACCTCTTAGTATTCACTTGGGTGTGACCCAAAAAACCCTCCCCCCATGAAAGAAGTGGATAAAGTGCTTTCAAGTTTAATCTCGCTCTCCCCCCACCCCCGGGGGAGTTGGGGGCTTTGGGCCACACCTGCCCATGCTCTGGGCTTACTCCTGCCTCTGTGCTCAGGGATCACTCCTAGAGGATTCTAGAAGGACCATATGGGGTCCTGGGGATTAAAACCTGGGTTCGCTTTGTGCAAGGCAAGCACTACTTGCTGTACTATCTCTCCAGTCCCCGAAATGGTGAAATTTTTAATGTGAACAAACATTTCTGAATTTAGCCCTCAGGAGGGAGAGCACCTATCAGCTATCCAGGAATGACAGGAATGAGTGAAGCCGGGAACTTCGGTGGAAATAGCTTCATGCCAATAAATGGCCTCACAGCTATCCAAAACCAGGTAAATTCTGCTCGCATATCTACAGAAATGGACGGCACAAACAATCCTAAATTTTGTTACTTCCTTAATGCTTCTTACACTAAGTGCCTGGCTTATTTATTTATTACAGAGAAATTCAGGTTTCTGTGGGGGAGAGTAGTTGTTAAAAATCTCTGCGATTAGTAGAAATTTTTGTTGACTTATTTCAATTGATAGGTAATCTTTATGTGAAATAAGGTGTGAGGTAGCTGTTATAATTTGGCTTTTAGGAAGAGGAAACATCCTGGTAACTAGCAAATAAGACATACCATAATAGGAACCTACATGCATATATCTGCTAGGGAAAAAAAAATCTTTCTGCTTTGAATCTCAGGTGCTCAATTTGATTAAGGCTTGCCCAAGACCTGAAGGCCTGAACTTTCAGGATCTGAAGAGCCAGCTCCAACACATGAGTGTAAACGCAGTCAAGTAAGTATTCATTTTCACAAGACAGGGCTCCCAGCATTGTTCATTTCACTACACCGGATTTCCTGGTAAGGAGTAGTTCTAAGCACAGACTCTCCATTGACTATAGCCTGTTGACAGAAAGGAAGTTGTTTGGTTTGGAAAATTACAGAAAGGAGAGCGGGGAGATAGTTCAGAAGGTGGGGAGTGCCTTGCATCCCTAGCACCTGAGCATTGAATAGCCGTCCAGTTTGGCTGAGCGTAGCCAAGGAGTGGCCCCCATGTGCTCTGAGCCCTGTTAGGGACACAGAACAAAACAAAACAAAAATGGGACTGGAGCGGTAAGTGGGTAGGGTGTTTGCCTTGCACGCGGCCAACATGGGTTGGATCCCTGGCATCCCATATGGTCCCCCCAAGCATTGCCAGGAGTAATTCCTAACTGCAGTCATTGGATGTGACCCAAAAAGCCAAAAAAGGAAAGAAAAAAAAATACTGAAAGGACTGGCAAAGATGGTCCTAACCCATTCCGTAATCTTTTGTTTATTCCACAGACCCTAAGTCCCATTATGTCTGGGGAAATTTTCCCCCCTTTAACTTATTAGTTAATAAAGTGTTAATAAAGAATAAGAGTAATGTGTGTGTAGTGGTGTTGACATATGGTCCTGATGTAATCGTGGAGTGATCTTTTGATTTTTTTGTGTTTTGGTTTGGGACCATGCCTGGCAGTGCTTAAGACTGGCTCTCTATGCTCAGAGGTAACTCAGGGAACCATTCTGCGTCTGCCATATGCATGACTCCCAATACTATCTCTCCAGCCCTCTGGGAAATTTTTGAACAGAACATGGCCTGATAACTCTTGTAGGGTTTTAATCTAGAGGAGAGGTCTCCAACTTCCTGGTCTTCAAGTGTATACTCCATGTGCATGGCGCCCCCTATGGACATGGGGGTACATGTGCTGCTTTTACCTTTAGCTGGTGCTAATCTCCTGTCCTTTTTAGAACCTATTAGACAAGGAGATTCCTAGTCTGGGAAGTAATCAGTTGGTCTGTTGTGGTGCTTTTGATATTTTTTGTTATGAGCTGTTTAAACTTTTAGAGTTAGATAGAAAAGGAATGCTCAGGTCAAATTCCATTTGCTGTCTTACAGAGTAAGCATAATACTTTTTCAGTTCCTGTGGTGCACAGGTGCAGAATTACTCACATAGTAGGTTCTATGGGACTCAGTACTCTTGTTAACTATGTTACTCACACTCACCCCAAAGGCTTTGAATCGTGAGAGGGTGTCAGACCATTTCTGAGAAGACCTTTCCTTTGTGCAACTTCATCGGGAAAACTGGAGGGTTGGTGCAGGGGACATTTTATAAAATTGTTTCTTGGGGCTGGAGAGATAGTACAGCGGGTAGGGTGTTTGCCTTGCACGCAGCTGACTCGGGTTCAATCCCCTGAGCACCGCCAGGAGTAACTCCTGAGTGCAGAGCCAGGAATAACCCCTGTGCATTGCCAGGTGTGACCCAAAAATCAAAAAGTATACATATAAATTTTAAAAAATAAAATTGTTTCTTATACTAGGACATTTTTTGTTGTTGTTTGGTTTTGCAAGCACACCCAGTGGTGATCAGGGCTTACTCCTAGCTCTGCACCAAGAATCACTCCTGGAGGGACTCAGGGCACTATGAGGTGCCCTGGAATTGAACCCGGGTTACCGCGTGCAACCATGCACCTTACCCACTCTACTGTTTCAGCAGTCCCATAATGCTGGATTTTCTATGCAAACAAAAAACACAGCTTTAGATCCTTGTTTTACTTTCCTTAGGTGGGTGTTTGGATTTGGTGCTACTTTCTGTTTCTTACACAACTTGAGAGAGGGGTCTTAGGCAGTCCCTAATTGTCATTCTATGAGTCACCTCTGTTTGCAGTTATGCTGGCATTTCTCCATGCAAGATTCTTCTGTGACAAAAATTGAAATTCTTTTTTTTTTTTTTTTTTTGGCTTTTTGGGTCACACCCAGAGATGCACAGGGGTTACTCCTGGCTCTGCACTCAGAAATCACTCCTGGCAGTGCTCAGGGGACCATATGGGATGCTGGGAATCGAACCCGGGTTGGCCACGTGCAAGGCAAATGCCCTACCCGCTGTGCTATTGCTCCAGCCAAAAATTGAAATTCTTAACTAAGATTGAAAGTGGGGGTAGCACAGAGAGATGGTGCAACAGACCGAGCACATGCTTTGCATGAAGGAGCCCAAGTTTCGATCGGCAGTACAGCATGGTCCCCCAGGCTCTGGGGTGAGAGTAACTGCTGAATACCACTGGGTGTGACCCAAACAAAAAACTGAAGTGGTGAACTCGGGGAAACATATTTCACCACACCCAGGATACTTGGCCTCCTTTCCGTATTGGTGTGAAAATGAGCCTTTTTCTTTCTTTCCAGGCAAGCAGTGGATTTTCTAAGCAACGAGGGACACATCTATTCCACTGTGGATGACGATCATTTTAAATCCACGGATGCAGAATAACTGAATCTAACTGGATGCCTGAGATTTTTTTCTGGCTGGACATATTTTCACAACCTTTTGTTTCCAGCTACGCTATGTTTGGCCAGTTTACTTCTAGGAAGTAGGTGCCAGTTGACAATTAAGGTCCCTTTTGACAATTCCTTCTCTTCTGTTTTTTGAAGTTCAAAGGGAGATGAGCAACTGACAGGAATGAAACCGGGGCAGACTTCCTCAAGGAAGTTGCTGATTAGCTGCTTACCACGGCAAGACAGGTGGAATTGGAAGAAGGCTGCTCCTCAGAGACATTGGAACTGAAATGAGACATTGGAACTGAAATGATTCTCAGGAGTTTTGTTCCCATTTCCTGCTGGAGCAGATGAGCAGGACTGGAGCTGGCCGGGAACCCCAGTAAGCTCTGGCAGTTGTTCCCCATTTGGGTTCTGTGGTTCTTTGAGATGGCACTTCTCACCCTCATGTTAGGATTGCTGCCCTGTGTTTCCATAAACAGGACCTGAGGGGGTTGAGGCGGTCCACTGGGCAGTGAAGAGAATCAACTCGTGCATTAAATCAGGCCATCCAGAAGTTTAATAAAGTAGTTGAATGACAGTATCTCGTGGAAGTGTCCTTTACTTTTTAAACTGGTTATTATTCATCATCTACATTATCTGCATCTTGACTTGGATTTGAATTTTTGTTTTTGTTTTTGCTTTTTGGGTCACACCTGGTGATGCACAGGGGTTACTCCTGGTTCTTCACTCAGGAATTACCCCTGGTGGTGCTTGGGACCATATGGGATGCTGGGAATTGAACCCAGGTCGGCCACATGCAAGGCAAACCCCCTATCCACTGTGCTGTCGCTCCAGCCCCCTTGGGTTTGAATTTTTGACTCCAGCTTTTCCATTTTTTTTTTTCTTGCTGGGTTCAGTGTGTCACATACAGCACTGTTCAAGGGCTCTCTTGTGGCAGCATTTGGAGGCCCATAGACAGCCATGGGATTAAACCTCGGTTGGCTATGTGTAAGGCAGGTGTACTAACCTGTCTACCTCTCCTGCCCTCTCAGGCTCCATGCTGTTCCTCTGAGCCCAAAATACTGATTATTTTTTTGCCAGCTCAGCTTCAATTCTGGTGGCAATTATTTTGTCAAGTTGAGAAACAGATTTGGGCTGGAATGATAGTACAGTGGGTAGGGGGTTGTCTTGCACGTAGCAGACCCAGGTTTGATTCCTAGCATCCTGGAGTAGTTCCTGAGTATTACTGGGCGTGGCCCAAAATAATAAAAAGAAACTAAGCTACCTCTTGAATAAAAATTTTCTGATAATGAGGTGTGACATGCAGATAAAAACTCTGGGACTGCTTTAAACTTTCTAAATTAGTTGTAGCAGCTGTGTGGGAAAGCTTCACCCTCCTGGTACCTGACAGTGAACAACAGCCTGGCTATTATTACACCCATAGGGTGGTTCCTGTGGGGAGCTTTGCAGATGTTCAAGAGTGAGTCAAGCAGGATGTTTATTTGCAAGTACGCCCATTGGTTGTTTCCTAAAAGACTGGCTTAAAATATATTAAAAAAAAAAAAGTTAAATCTAGAATACATGATAGAATACTACTATACATGGTAGAATTCTCTTTCTAGGAGTCAGCCTAGTGCTCTTAAATAGGAGTAGTTTGGTTCTGGGGGGGAATCACTTTATCTTTGGTTTTGAATAAGATAACTTGGCAATGAAAAATGAATTCTGGACGGCGGCCAGAGCTAGTACAGCAGTTAAAGCACATACTTCACAGGTGGCTGGCCCCAGTTCAAGGCCCTGATATCACCTGTGGTATCATGATCCCCCAAACAACATGGGTGTGACCCTAGAAGCCCCCCAAACACTGCTGGGATGGCTCCGATAATCCCTGGTATTCCAGGGCTGGAGCAATGCCACATCCTTAGACCCCAACATCTCTACCTCCGCCCCCCCCCCCCACACACACACATATACTGTCACAAACTGTCACTGTCCCAGTAAACTAAGAATGGCCTGGCAAGGTCCCTACGACTCCTGAGCACTGTTTGGGGGCCTATACCCTCATCTCAACAAACCTACTTCTGGATTTAAGGGATTTACAGTGGTTTAGAGTCCACCTGCCTTGCAATCATAAGGTCACTGCCCAGTAATGTCACATGCACAGAGTGAGTCCAACAGCTGTGCTGTCTGAGCTCTGCCATACCTTAGCAAGGGATGTAGGAGCATCTCAGCAAAAAGTGTGACCCCTGGTGGGCAATACAGCCAGCATATGCAAGCACACAACTACAAGGATAGTGGAGCCCCCACCAACAAACAAGCACAACCCAAAACATTGCAGCCAGGCATATATGTGTGCACGTGTGTACATGACCCCAGCAACAATAGAGGGAAGAGAAAACAGTCAAATACTGTGTGAGTCCATAAATCAGGAACATAAAGCAAAACAAAGGGGCTGGTCCTTGGCACCTCAAAAAATAAAGGTAAAGTCGAAAGGTCGGGGAACAAAACAAGAAACGTGTCTCAGAACTTCGTGGTTTTGCATTCTCACTAGCACAGGTCGGTGGCACTGAATTCTCTGCCCCGTAGCATTTACAGAGGGGCAGGTATTTTGATTTCCTGCTGAGTCACTCCATGAAACAGCAACCTCTAGGCTTTTGAACTATTGGGGAGGGAGGTGTTTTACATATGGGATACTTGTGGTCCTCTGGAATGTCAAAGTTAAAGTATTTTCTTGATACATTGAGATAGTAAGAGCAAGTTTCCAGGACTTTCTCAACCCCCACTCCACCCCACTTCTGGAAAATATTTATGCAGATGGAAGAAGTTTCTTTGGGAATAGGTATGATTTATTAAGTTTAACTAGAGAAAGACCATTTAGAATCACTGGTTATATACCTGGGCTGGAGCGACAGCATAGCGGGTAGGGTGTTTGTCTTGGATGTGGCGAACCCGGCTGACCTGAGTTCAGTTCCTCCGCCCGTCTCAGAGAGCCCAGCAAACTACCAAGAGTCTCTCACCCGCACAGCAAAGCCTGGCAAGCTACCTGTGTCGTATTCGATATGCCAAACACAGTAACAAAGTCTCAATGGAGACGCTACGGGCCCTGCTAGCTTAGCAATAGAGCACTTGCCTCTTATGTGTGAGGCCCTGGGTTTAACCCCTGGCCAGTAAAAACACCCAGTATTAGATGGGAGCCCAATGGGCTGGAGGTTTGCAAGCAGGAAGCCCAGGTTCACTCCCCAGCCTGGTCAAGTGTAGCACCAATCCCTCCCCCTCACACACATGAAACTGGCTGTGCATTAATGAGGCTTTTCTTTTTCAGGGCAGTTGGGAAAAATTCAAAACATTTTTGAGCATGCACCCCCAGTTTAAATGCATTTATTTACCTATCATTATATTAGTATGTTATACATTATGTTAAGCATGAAGGAATGTATTAATAATTCTCTTCTGTTTCCAAGTAGATCATCTGTACACTTTGTGGACACCTCAGGGAACCCCTAGTCCCGCTCTAGCACCATCCCATCACTCTGGCTTATTCCAGAGCAAGAATAGACTAAAGCACTGAGAAGCCTGTCTGTCTTTGGGCCAGTCCTGGCAAGTTCTGGCCAGCCCCTATATATTTTTTTTTTATTAAAAAAATTTTTAATAGTGAGACATCATGAGGTACAGTTGCAGACTTGCACATTATTCTGCTTGGGTTTCAATTACACAATGATCAAATACCCATCCCTCCACCAGTGCCCATTTCCCACCCCCACGGATCCCAGTATCCCTCCCACCCCCCATCCCCCCCATCCTACCCTGCCTCTGTGGCAGGGCATTCCCCTCTGTTCTCTCTCTCCTTTTGGGTGTTGTGGTTTGCAAAAGAAACATTGAGTGGCAATCATGTTTGGTCTATAGTCTACTTCCAGCATGCTTCTCCCATCCTGGGAGGATCCTCCCAACACCTTTATTTGGTGTTCCCCTCTTTATCTGAGCTCCCTTTTCCCCTAGTAATGTGTGGTTGGCCTCCAAGCCATGGAGTAAAATTCCTGGTACTAATCTCAGCCATTCTTGGGTATTAGTTTCCTATTTTGTTACTTTATGTTCCCCAGATGAATGCAATCTTTCTATGTCTTTCCCTTTCTTTCTGAGTCATTTCACTTAACATGATACTTTCCATGTAGTACCACTTGTATGTAAATTTTGTGACTTCCTCTTTTCTAACAGCTACACAGTACTCCATTGTGTAAATGTACCAAAGTTTCTTTAACCACTCATCTGTTCTCGGGCACTCAGGTTTTTCCATATTCTGGCTATTTTAAAGAGTGCTGCAATAAATAGACAATTGCAGATGTCACTTCGACTATACTTTTTTGCCTCTCTGGGATATATTCCCAGGAGTGGTATTGCTGGATCAAATGGGAGCTCAATTTCTAATTTTTTGAGAATTGTCCATACTGTTTTCCAAAAGCCAGCCCCTATATTTTTATAAAACAGTTACACCTGCAGTTTTCAGTTTTTGTGATGGCTTTTTTTTTTTTTCAGCAGACACAACTGACAGTGCTCAGGGCTGACTGACTTTCTTCTGGGGGGGAGGGGAAATTACAGTGACTTTCAGGGCTTATCCCTAGCTCTATGCTCAGGTATCATTCCTGGCTGGCTCAGGGGGCCATACGTGGTGCCAGGGATCAAACCCAGGTAGGCCGTTTGCAAGGCAAGCCCCTCCCTGATGTACTACCTCTCTGGGCTTCCGGGGTTTCTTTCAGCTCTGCAACAGGATCACCCTGGAGGTGCTCAGGGAACCATATATGTTGCTGGGGATTCAAACCAGGGTCAGCCACATGCAAGGCAAGTGCTTAACCCATAGTAAAGTAAAGTAAAGGCCCTCCCGTTGTTCATCGATTTGCTCGAGCGGGCCCAGTAACGTCTCCATTGGAGACTTTGTTGTTACTGTGTCTGGCATATCGAATACGTCACGGGGAGCTTGCCAGGCTCTGCCCTGTGGGCGAGATACTCTCAGTAGCTTGCTGGGCTCTCCGAGAGGGGCAGAGGAATCGAACTCGGGTCGGCCATGTTGGCCGCTTGTAAGGCAGATGCCCTACCGCTGTGCTATCGCTCCAGCCACTTGTTTTTCTTCCAAGCCCAGCTTTCCCTGCTGTGAATTGCTTCCCTTCTCATTAGAGCCTTTGGCCTCTCAGAAATTCTCTCTAGTAAGAACTCTTCCTTCCCTTTTATGATCTTGCCCAATTTCGCCCTGTGGTTAAATGGCAACATGAGAGTGAAACTGTCGCCTGTGGACTTGGTCCCAGGGATCTGCCAGAGAGGAATTTTTGCCACTTTCTTGCTTATTGCCAGAGTTGCATCCTCAAGGTCCTCCTGTGCAGACTGTCTCTGGAGGAGGAGGTTGGGAGCTATATACTAGGGACTGGCCTGGCAGCCTGGCATAGGCCCCTCGAAGTCACCAGAAGAACCCCCAGCTACAGAATGGCAGTCAGGAGGTGTGGGAAGTGCTCCAGTCCAGCCAGCTCCAAAGGATGTTAGAAGGTCCGGGAAGGACATACTTCCAGGTGCAGTACCTGGAACGGGGGCTGTGGGCAGGGGGTGGTGGTGCTGGAAATCTGACCCTTTCGATTCCCACTTTAACTGGGGACTCAGATCATCTCTTTATGTTCTTATTTCTGCTGACTCTGGTGCTTCCTTCCAGAAGAACATCAACTTGGCAAACCAAAGTTCCATCATTTCCAGGGAAGGAAGGTGCCCTTCCATTTTAGCTGTCTCTGAATTGACCTAGCGTGACATCAGAAACTGAGGCAGTGTGCATCCACACAGGCTCGCTCTTGTTCTCTAGATGGCGAGAATGTCCAGCCCATCAGAATGCTATGCTGTTTCCACTCGGAACAGTCCTTTTCAAACCCTGGGACAGATGCCATGACTAGGACACAGGGTAAGCATGTGGAAAGCGTACAGCTATGGGAGCGTGGCACACTGTGTGGTCAACAACGATCCTAAAATGTTTATTATGCGCTGGGCATTGTGTTAAATGCTTTACAAAGATGGTTTCATTTGTTCCTTAAACATGTGAGGTAGTTAACTTGACTTCAAGGACATGAAAAGAGGGGCTGGAGCAATAGCACAGCAGGTAGGGCGTTTGCCTTGTACGCGGCCGATCCAGGTTCGATTCCCAGCATCCCATATGGTCCCCTGAGCACCGCCAGAAGTGATTCCTGAGTGCATGAACCAGGAGTAACTCCTGTGCATCGCCGGGTATGACCCCAAAAAACAAAAAACAAAAACAAAACGAAACAAAAAAAAGGACATGAAAAGAAACAGAAGCTGAGCAGTTAGAGAACTGCCTTGGAGTCACATGAGTAGGTGATCTGGGAGCTTCTCAGTGCTGCTAAGCGTCTGTCCTCTCCTGCTTGTCTCCTGAGCTTTAACAGAAGGCTCTGTCACCTCAGAGTAGAGCATTTCATGAGGGGGACAGAGGGTCTGGCACAGACAGAACTTAGTGACACGGCATCTTCCCCCAGGAGCTCAGCTGTCATGTCTATTCTATTATTTCTGAGTGAAAACTGAGTGTCACTGTGGCTCTCGGGGCTGAGGGTTGGCAGAGAGGAAGGAGACAGTTCTAATCTCAGAGCCTGGGAGGGCAAGACTGGAAGGGAAAGAGGGCGAGAGAAGGAAACAAAAACAGTCATCAGTTGGCTGAGCTCAGGGTGGAGTCCCTTCTCCCGGAGGAGCTGTGGAGGCCCGAGTTCTCTCAGGACCCTTTGGAGGGGATGATGGTGTTCGAGGGAGCTAGTCTTCCCCTCTGGCTACCCACACGCGAAGCTGAAGGAGCCAGGTCTGAGGTGCTGGGGTCGCACAAGCAGGAAGTGGATCCTGTGGGGAGCTGGTGCAGCGTTGGCCCCAATTCTCCCCAGTCCTCACAAAACCAGTCTGCTGCCCGGGAGGCTTTATCTAGAACTGCTCCAGGCCTGTGACAGTGAGCCGGTGTCCCGGAGACCTGAGAAGCGGCCGGTAAGAAGCATGGTTCCCCTGGCGCCTAGAGGGTTTTCTGAAATTGCTCGGTGATCTCTTCATAATCGTGTTCGTCTGCGTCTGTCAAAAAGCCAAGGCAAGGGGGTCTCTGTGCTGAGCTCCCTCTGGAAGCCACAGCCGTCCTGGCCAGACAAACACCCTGGGGCCGGGGACAGTGGGACCCCTTACTGTCCACCCCTTATTACCCTGTTCATTCAACTGAGCTCCTGTAAGGACCCCTCCCCATAGCAGTAGGGCACTGCTGAGGGGGCGGCCAGGGAAGCAGGGGTGGATGGGGAGGGCTGGCAGGGACTCACCTCGGTCCAGGATCTTGGGTTTAGTGGACTTGAGGCCCCTCTTGGAGCTGGGAACCTGACTATACAGATTGATTCTGTCCTCAGTGGCCCTGGGCCAGGTGTCCATCTTGGGTTTCGGCAGCAGAGCAAGTGGCTGGGATTGGATGTCTTGAGACTAAGTGGGAGAAGCAGCAGAAGTCAGCAGGGTCCCCGAAATAGACCTTCCCTCTGGTACTGGTCGCTCCCGCCTCTACCCCCTCTCCACTTCCTTTTCAGGGGCAGCCTCCCAGGATACCACACCCAGGCTACAGCACAGATGGGGCCTCAGGGATCAGGGCAAAAGTGCCACCGGCTCTGGCAGGGAGGTTCAGGAGTTTCCCAGGGGCTGGAGTGCGGACTGCGGTGGGTGTGAGTGTTGGGGGGCAGGCGAGATCCTTCCATTCCAGTTGGGTTTACGACTGGGCTGTAAGACCAACAGTTCTCCAGTGTGGGGGAACTGAGGTGGCCCCCAGTATGGGAAACCACAGCATGTTCAGGAAAGGGGCTCATCCGCAACCAGGGAAGGATTTAGGACTTTTAGGGAGCCGGAAGAGTGAAGGTGGAAAAGGACAGAGGGCTGGAACCTGGGCGTGAGCAGGCCCCTGCCTTCAATGATACCTTCACTTCTGTCTCCTTGCTCTGGCTCTTCTGGCTCAGGTCCCGCTTGGGGGGCCTGGGTGGAGGGGCTTGACTCTGTTGAGTGGGCAGCTTCCGCAGGTGATAATAGAAGGTTTCGGTCAGCTCCTCTACGGTGGCCACAAGCACAGACCCTGCTGCCTGGGCGGGCTGCTCCTCGGCCACCACCACGGTCAGGTCCAGCCACCTAGGAGGGATCTCAAAACACACCCCGGGCTCAGAGTCCAGGCTGGCCACCAGGAAGGGCTCCATGATCTTCTCCTCCAGCCGCAGGCCCAGGAAGGAGAGCAGAGGGTCAGCAGGGTGGCTGGCATCCTTGGCCACCACCTTGACTTCACTGGGCAGAGGGAACTGAGCAGTCAGCTCAGCCAGGCTGTAGCGCCGGCTGTCATTCATCTCCTCCACGAAAGGCCCCGGGAAGTAGAGGGGCAGCAGGACCTGCTCGTGCTCAGCCAGCTCTTCCTCCTCTTCCTCCTCTGCCTGGTCGCTCCGTCGCTGACACACCAAAACATCCATGACCCTGTCCTGAGCCCCACAGGCCTCACCAGACTCCAACACCTCCAGCCTGTCGCCCACAGACAGGGACGGGAACTCGGGGTTCTCCAAGTTCTCGTCCTCATAGTCCTTCATGGCCACCACCCGGAGTGGCCGGCCTGGCTGGATGGCGCCCAGGATGTCATAGGCGGTGGGGAACTCCCGGGGCCGCCGCCGCAGCTTGCCCCGGTAGGCCCCGGACAGCAGGAAGTGTCGGGGCAGCTTCCGGCCCTTGGTGGATGCCAGGACCCGCCATGGAGGTGAGGCCGGTCCATAGATGCAGAGCCGCTGGCCTATCTGCAAGGAGGTCAGCCAGGGACTGAGGAAGATGGGGGGCCCCTGAGGAACCTCCAGGATCTCCACGAGCTGGGGGAAGGGGCCTCCCTGGGCCAGGACCTCGCTCAGCAATAGAGGTTTGATGAAGTGGACATGCTGGGAGGAACTTGTGACATCTTCCACGTCGATCTCCAGGGTGGAGGGGATCTTGACCACAGTCCTGCGCACTGTGGAGGGGAGGTTAGTTCAGGGGCACTGGGTCGGGGGTCTCCACTGTCCTCAGCAGAGGAACCTGCCTGTGGGCCCCTTCTGCCAGCACTTCCCCTATTCTCCTTCAACCTTCCCCCCAAGTAACCGTGGAAACTTGTTAGCACTTATGAAAGCAGAACAGTCTAATGAACCCTGTGTCCTGATCACCCACCGTCAGCTGTCATCTTATCGCCCTTTCCTTCTCTTTTCACCACGATTTCTCTAGTCTCCCTCGCTGGATTATTTTGAATCAGAATCATTACTTCTTGCCATCAGTGATTGGTTCAGTGTGTCTTTAAAGGGAGGAAAAACTTAAAAAAATCAAGGGCTGGAGAACCAGTAAAGGGATTCAGGTACATGTCTTAAAGGCAACTGTCCCACAACTGTTCTGTTCTTATAGGCAACTGTTCTCTCTCTCTCTCTCTCTCTCTCTCTCTCTCTCTCTCTCTCTCTCTCGTTGGGGTATGTGGCAGGGATATGCCAGAGCCCTGCACACACTAGTTACATATGTGCTCTACCAGTTGAGTGCTTAAAGTTTAGGATTTTTTTTCGGGGGGGGGGTCATGGGATTTGGGGTCGTACCTGGCAGTGCTCAATGCTTACTCCTGGCTCTGCACTCAGGGAGTACTCCTTAAGGACCACATGGGTTACCGGAGATTGAACCCAGGTTGGCCATGTGCAGGGCAAGCCACCTACCCACTGTACTATCACTCCAGCTCCTGGGCTCTTCAAGTTTAATTGGATATGGAACGAGATTCTACAAGCTGCCTTTTATACCCTTTCTGCATTTACATAGATAAAGGGAGATTGAGGGAAGCACTAAGCAGCCGAGCTTGCTCTCTCCCTCTCTGAGCACTGAGGGGCCCCAGGCAGGAAGACTGCAACCCAAGTTGCTCCTGTCAGCACGCACAGAAGCTACGGCAGGGGCTGCTCGCCCCACTTTACAGATGAGCACACTGAAGTTCAGGGGAGTGGTGATGACTGGCTCAGATAACCTTCTTGGGAGTTTTTTTGGGGGGCTACACCCAAAGGTACCGGGGTGTCAGTTCCTGGTAGTGCAAGGTACTGAAACCTGGGCTCCTGTGGGGTGAAGCTGAAAGGCGAGGGGACGTGGGGTTTCATGGCACTACCCTGATTTTACTTCAGAACAGATGTAGATGCCTCCACAGCCCCTGTGCAGTGACCCCTGGCTCCCCAGACTGCTCTCTTCCGCCATTCCCCACAAGAGTCCAAGGGTCCTTGGTTGAGGACAGCTTCCAGAAAATCAGAAAATCTCCTCCAGGACATGCAGGAACCGGAAAGAGATGCAGGTGCCAAGGCAGCTAAGCGGGGCCACAGGCAGGCTGAGTCCACAGGGGGGACACTTGCATCAATGCATCTGGGAGCTCAAAGTAATTAAACACACACACACACACACACACATACACACACACACACACACACACACACACACACACACACACACACACCTCTGTGGCCAGAGCAATAGTCCATCGGGTAAGGCACTTGCCTTGTACTCAGCCAACCCAGGCTCAAATCCCTGGCACACTCTACATTCCCCGAGTCCCTGAGTGAAGAACCAGGAGTAAACCCCAAGCACCGCTGGGTGTGGCCCAAGAACAAATGAACAAGAAGTGTGGGAGTTCATTCGTTTTCCCCTATCCAACTCCCACTCTTTGGGAAACAGACACATCATCGGATGCATGGGTTAAGCTGCCCGCAGCCCTTGGCAGAAGCGTGTGGGGAGGCTTTCCACGACACAGCTCCCGGGGGGCCCTGTGTCACTCACTCTGCATGATCGCTTGCAACTCGAACTGGGGCAGCAGGACCAGCGAGTTCCAGGGGAGACGGGGGCAGCTGAAGAGACGGTCTCTGGACACTGAGTCGTGCAGGGCTTGCAGCAAGGTCTGCGGGGTCCCGGACATGCACTGCCAGAAAGGCCCCGTCTGGGACAGGGGCAGGTACAGCACCACCTGTTGCGTCCCCATAACCTGCACACAGCGTGCGTAGCCACCTGTGGAGCTTTTGTCCACCGCCTCCAGCATGAGCACCTGGCCCGCAGGCACCGTCCTGGCCTCCACCTTGATGCTGCAGCTTGACATGAAATACACAGGCAGCTTCTTGGAGTTCCGAGTGGTCGCCGTGACCAGCTCCTCCAGGCTTCTGTAGCTCTGGGGGCCAGCAAGGGGGATGAAGGGGCCTGTGGGGGCAACAGCAAAGGGTAACTAAGGTGGTCTGGGCCGTCACACAGAACCCTCAGAACTTCAGGACAGGTGCATGGGGATGCCTGAATGACAGGGTAGGGAGAGGAGCAGTTGGGGCTCTCAGATGGGCAGGGTCACAGAGGGACAGTCACTGGACAGAGAACAGCGCAGAAAGTTCACCAGCATTCTCCTAGACCCCCCCCCCCCCAGGTTCCCACATCCTCCCTCCTGTACCACCTGGAAGTTCTGCCTCCAGATTCCCCCCATCTCTCATCCTCCCAGTCCAGCCCCAAGCTGGACCCCCAGGGTGACAGGCCCATGACCTCTCTGTCCAACTCTGCATGCCGGGCCCCCGTGCTCACCCACCTCCTTCCCCTGCCCTCTGTCCTTCTCCTCATGGGGCTACCCCACACTACCCCACATCCAATACAATTTTACTTCTGGAGCTTTCCTGCCCCAAACATGGAGCACAAATGGAATCAAGAAACCCTTGGGGCTGGAGTGATAGCACAGCAGGTAGGGGGGTAGGGCATTTGCCTTGCACTCGGCCAACCTGGATTCGATTCCCAGCATCCCATATGGTCCCCTTAACACCGCCAGAAGTGATTCCTGAGTGCAAAGCCAGGAGTAATCCCTGTGCATTGCCAGGTGTGACCCAAAAAGCAAATAATAATAATAATAATAATAATAATAAAAATAAATTTTAAAAAAAAGAAACTCTAATGTGAGCCAGAACTGACGCCCCTCTAAGAAAATGCTGTTTGGGCATGTCCAAACATGCACACCACACACACACATGCCTTACAGGTGCAAGACCCTGAGTTTGATCCCCACACCCACATCTCCTCTTCAAACACACACAAAAATAAGAGTAAAAATATTAATTCATGAGGTTGGAGTGATAGTACAGGAGGGAGGGCACTTGTCTTGCATGTGGCCAACCTGGGTTTGATCCCTGGCATCCCATATGATCCCCAGAACCCCTCCAGGAGTGATCCCTGAATGGAGAGCCAGGAGGAAGCTGGCTCTGGGGAGTGGCCCAGAAATAAGCAAAAAATGTCAGCGCTGAGGCCATGTGGACCCCCACAACAACAAAAGTACCTTTCATCCCTGGCATCGTCCCATGCTGAGTGGAATCCAGGCAGCACCGCACTGGGGACCCCTGAGCCACACTGAGTGTAAATTGAGCCGTCACTACTAAGTTTGTGTGAAAAGCACAACCAAGAAAGCCCGGAACCCCTAGGGAGCTACACTCACGCGTGTGAACCCTGTGACTGCAAACACCATAGCCATGGGGAGAACAAAACAGTAAATATATCAATTAAAACGTGCCCCAAAGCCCTGCATGGTAAAAAGGTGAATGCTGAGACAAAGAAACGGGCAGGACTAAATGGACCTGGAGCTGAGCTGCGGCTAGAGGTGATGAGCGAGCTGAAGAGGACTCGGGCGGGGGACACTGCTCCTACAGATGTGCAGACAGTGGGCTGCACAGCAGCACTGTGCCACGGCCGACTCCCCTCGACCACAGCTTTTAGGAGACATGGCAGGGGAATGCTGAGAATGTCTTGGTCCCCTCTCGAATGATCCCAGAAGACACCTGGCGTGTCCCCGGTCGTGGGGTAGGGACAGGTTTTTACATGAATGTACCACAGATAGTGGGGGTGGTGAATGCAGATATCAGCTACACCAGAGTCCTAGCAAATCTTCCGTATATTAAAAATTGTTGTAAAAGAGTGTCAGAGAGATAGAACAGCGGGGAGGGTGCTTGCCTTGCATGTGGCCGACTTGGGTTTGGTTCCTCAGCATCCCCCAAATCCCCTGAGTACCGCCAGGAGTGCTACCTGAGTTCAGTGCCAAGAGTAACACCTAAACATCACCAGGTCTGATCCAAAAACAACAAAAAAAGTGGTTTTTTTTTTCTTTTTTGGGTCACACCCAGCAATGCTCAGGGGTTATTCCTGGCTCTGCACTCAGGAATCAACCCTGGCGGTACTGGAGGACCATATGGGATGTGGAGGAGCTGAACCCAGGTGGACCGTGTGCAAGGCAAATGCCCTACCTGCTGTGCTATCTCTCCAGGCCCCTCCCCGCAAAAAATGTGTTTTAAAAGAAAAAGACAACCCCCCAAATAAGCATCTCTGGTTCTCCAGGCCCCCAGCACTGCCATGTGGACCCCCACAACAACAAGACTACAAATGTGGGGGTGCCATCTGACAAGGGGTTGATATCAAGGATATACAAAGTACTGGTTGAACTCCACAAGAAGAAAACATCCAACCCCATCAAAAACTGGGGTGACAAAATGAACAGAACTTTCTCAAAGAAGAAATCCGAATGGCAAAAAGGCACATGAGAAAATGCTCTACATCACTAATCATCAGGGAGATGCAGATTAAAACCACAATGAGATATCATCTCACACCACAGAGACTGGCCCACATCCAAAAGAACAAAAGCAATGGATGTTGGCACGGATGTGGTGAGAAAGGGACTCTCCTTCACTGTTGGTGGGAATACCGACTAGTTCAGCCCTTTTGGAAAACAGTATGGATGATTCTCACAAAATTAGAAATTAAGCTCCCATTTGACCCAGCAATACCACTCCTGGGGATATATCCTGGAGAGGCAAAAAAGTATAGTCAAAATGACATCTGCACTTCTATGTTTATTGCTGTACTGTCCACAATAGCCAAAAACTGGAAAAAACCCGAGTGCCAGAGAACAGATGACTGGTTAAAGAAACTTTGGTACATCTACACAATGGAGTACTATGCTGCTGTTAGAAAAGATGAAGTCATGAAATTTACATACAAGTGGTACTACATGGAAAGTATCATGCTAAGTGAAATGAGTCAGAAAGAGAGGGACAGACATAGAAAGATTGTATTCATCTGGGGAATATAAAGTAACAAAATAGGAGACTAACATCCAAGAATAGCTGAGATAAGTACCAGGAGGTTCACTCCATGGCTTGAAGGCCAGCCGCACATGCTAGGGGAAAAGGCAGCTCAGGTAGTGAAGGGAACACCAAGTAAAGGGTGTTGGGAGGATCGTCCCAGGATGGGAGATACATGCTGAAAGTAGACTATAGACGAACATGATTCCCACTCAATGCAAACATGCAAACCACAGCACCCAAAAGGAGAGAGAGAACAAAAGGGAATGCCCTGCCAGAGGTGGGATGGGGGGGTGGGGATAGTGGGAGGGCGCCTGGGATCATTGGTGGTGGAGAATGGGCACTGGTGGAGGGATGGGTACTCGACCATTGTATAACTGAAACCCAAGCACAAAAGCTTGTAAGTTCACAACTGTACCTCATAGTGTTTCACTAATAAAAATAAAAATGTGGGAGTGTGTAATTGGATATAGAAGTTGAAAAAAACTTTACAATAAATGTTTTTGTGATTTATTATTAGTAAATGTATCGCTATAATCATTATATCTACCTATATCCCAGGGTCACATAAAATTTCCTTGGGTAAGTAAGATGTGAGTAGAGAAAGTTCTAGGAACTCTGGCTCCTTCATGAGCTCATCCCTGGGGTCCACCTCAGCCAAGTGTATTCAGGCAACTTTGCTATCTGCTTCCCCTGATGCCACACCACAGGTGTGTCTAAGTGTCACAAAAATGGGGTGCATCCCTGGAGAGCACCCAAACTACAAAAGATGTGTGAGCCATGAGCAGGAAGAGCCCTGTGAACACTGGATGAGCACCACAGTGAGGATACAGAGCACCACAGTGATCCCATGGAGCAGCAGAGTGACACCATAGAGCACCAGAATGACACCACAGAGCACCAGAGTGACCACACAGAGCACCACAGTGACCCCATGAAGCACCACAGTGTTTTCACAGAGCACCAGAGTTACACTACAAAACACCAGAGTGACCACAGAGTGATCCCATGAAGCATCAGAGCGACTTCACAGAACACCAGAGTGACTACAAAAGAGTGACCACACAGAGCCAAAGTGACACTGCAGAGCACCAGAATGACCCCATGGAGCACCAGAATGAGCCGACATAGTGCCACAGTGACCCCACGAGTATCAGAGCCTGAGAGTGAGCCTCAAGAAGGGTGAACATGGAGCCAGAGACAGTACAGCAGGTAGGTCACTTGCCTTGCATACAACTCACTTTGGTTCTATCCCTGACACACCATATGGTCCCCTAAGCACCACCAGGAATGATCCTTGAGTACAGTCAGGAGTAACCTCTGAGCATTGCCAGGTGGGAACCAAAACAAATAATAAAAAAGAAATAATATGACACATCACTTACATACCTAAAATCCTACTGGCCCCCTCAATACCGTCAAAATAAAGCGGCCACGTGCCCAGCCATCTCTATAGACTAGCCCTCACGTACCATCCAGGAGACCAAACAAGAGAGGCTCTCGGCTATACCTGCTCACACCAGGGTTTCCAGTCTAGCAACTCCTTGAGCCCCCACATGAACCCCGAGTCTTCTTGACGGAGGAGATCAAGGTACAGAGCAGATACAGGACCCAAGGCCATAGCTGGCAGATGCCAGAGCTAGGATGCCCATTGGGGCTGCTTGCCTCAGAATCAAGGCCCACAGCCCACCAGGCTGCATCACTGAGCCATGTGGGATTTCTGGAGCCCCCAGCTCTGCAACTGCTTCTCTCTCCGCCACTCAGGGCCACCTCCTACCCTGTCTGCTCTGTCCTTGACATCGGCTGCTCAGGCTCCATCTAATCATGTGCCCGCTGTACTGACACCCTCTGCGTCTGTCATCCAGTGACAAGGCTGCCCCTCGACCAGCTGCACCCCACAGCCCCACCCCAGGCAACACAGGGCCAGTGCACAGCCGGGCTCAGCAGGCAACAGGTGAGTGAACACACAGGCAGTGAATGGAGACACAGCACAGGAGGAGGTGGTCAGAGGTAGACAGGGAGGGGCGCAGCTCACAGGCCAGGACATCTGGCTGCGTGAGGGACATGAGGGCTGCGTGTGCGGTCCCCAAAGTGATGGGGTGCATATTGCTGCCGGGGTGGGCAGGCCAGCAGGGCCCAGGAAGGGGTCAGGGTTCTTATGAGTTGGGGCTGGAGGACTTACCCTGGAAGTTGAGGGCGAGCTCCATGGTCTGGCCGGTTTCGGGGTTCCTACAGATCACTTTCTCCAGGTGAACCTGGATGACCTTGATCAGGTCCCCCGTGGACAGGCAGCACTCGTTCCCAGAGATCTCATAGATGGAGCCTGCAGAGACACACACTCAGTCTCCCTGTTCTGCCAGGGCTCTGCCCCCCAAAAAGTTCTGCTCGGCCACATCTTGGCATAGGCCGCCGCTCTGCTACCTGCCCCGAGCGTGGACTCAGCAGGGTCCAGGCAGCCTAAACCCCTGCTGCGCTTCCTTCCGAGCTGGTTCCCCGTGGGCTTCGAAGCCCATAGGGCAGGGCACAGCACCTGAGCGAGCGAGACTGGAGCCACGCCCATCTCAGAACAAGATGGGATCCACATGTCCCCATGCCTTTAGGATGCTGGCCTGGAGAGGGGCAGCGATGCCTCCCGGGCCACAGGGCATTTTCCCCCCTTCCCCCCTCCCCCCAACCCACTTCTTCAGAGGAGACCCCATGGGCAGCATCTGGGGCACACGGCAGCCCCACTGCTGCTCTGGTGTAACACACCTGAAGCGTGTCTGGAATACAGAGTGTGCCAGCGAAGCTCTCTCTCACAGGGAGGGCCAGGACCCAGGATCCCTAACTTGCTGAGGGGGGATCAGAAAGTGCAGGTGGGAGGGTACCTTGAAGTCATCCGGCACTGCACCCACCCAGGGCAGCTGCAGCAGGACCCTGTACAATAGCTCTGAGAAACTGGTCAAAACCAGACCAAACCAAACCTCACTTTCTGCAGTGCTTGCCTTGGACACAGCAGACCCGGGTTCAATCCCAGAACTCCATATAATCCCCTGAGCTCACTGGAAGTGAACCCTGAGTCCAGAGCCAGGAGTAAGCCCTGGGAGTGGCCCAAAATCAAAACAATTCCATCCCTCGCCCCCAGGAGAGTGCAGGAAGGACCACAGGCTCATTCTGTGTGCAGCTTGGCTATGGATGTAAACACACCTCTCCACTCTTGCCCCCACTGTGTCTTGGGCCCAGAGCATTCCCTTTCCGGAACTGAAACACCCACGCTCAAGAGGCTGAGGGTGTGGCCCATGGTGACCAGATCATCTGAGGCAACTCGGTAGAGGAACTCGGGACTCAGGGTCTGCAGGCAGTGTGCTGGGAGCCCCAAGCCTACAGCCCAGCCCCACCTCTGGCTTCCCGCACTCCCCCCTCTGGCACAGTGGCAAGGAGGGAGCAGAGCAGAGCAGGGAGGACCTGGAGGAGAGAGCCCCCAGGTGCCTGCAGGAAGCCTCCTGATCTAGAGTTGGGATTTGAATCCAGATCCCTGCTAGACCCACTCTGGGGTGGTCCAGGACCTCCACTGGACCCTAGTGGGTGACAGAGCAAAGGGGATGGGGGGGTGGCAGAGGCGGCCCTCCACACCTCTACCTCTCTCTTCTCCTTTTTTTTGGGGGGGTCACACCCGGCAATGCTCAGGGGTTACTCCTGGCTCATGCACTCAGGAATTGCTCCTGGCAGTGCTCGGGTGACCATATGGGATGCTGGGAATACGAACCTGTGTCGGCCATGTTGGCTGTGTGCAAGGCAAACACCCTACCCGCTGTGCTATCGCTCCAGCCCCTACCTCTCTCTTCTCCTTGACTGACTTCAAAAGGAGGGGGCACATCAGGGTGCTCAGGGGTCATTTCCAGTAGTGCTCGGAGACCACATGGTGCTGAGGAGGTAACCAGGCTCCCAACCTGCCAAGGCTGGGTCCAGTCCTTTGAGTTTCTCTTGTCCCCACCTCCACCTCCTGTGCTGAGAAGCCCGGCTGGCCTTTCCACCCACTCTTTTTTTTTTCTTTTAGTTTTTATTAGCGAAACACCATGAGGTACAGGTGTAGACTTACAAACTTTTGTGCTTGGGTTTCAGTTATACCATGATCGAGTACCCATCCCTCCACCAGTGCCCATTCTCCACCACCAATGATCCCAGTATCCCTCCCACCCCCCATCCCCCCGTCCCACCCTGCCTCTGTGGCAGGGCATTCCCTTTTGTTCTCTCTCTCCTTTCGGGCGCTGTGGTTTGTAAAAGAGGCATCGAGTGGCAATCATGTTCGGTCTATAGTCTACTTTCAGCATGCTTCTCCCATCCTGGGAGGATCCTCCCAACACCCTTTATTTGGTGCTCCCTCCTCTATCTGAGCTGCCTTTTCCCTTAGCATGTGTGGCTGGCCTCCAAGCCATGGAGCAAACCTCCTGGTACTTATCTCGGCTATTCTTGTCCACCCACTCTTGGCTGCAGACTGGGCCCCTCCTGTCTTCCCATGGCTGGAACTAGGGTGACTGAAGCCGGGTGCGCATGAGTACCTAGTTATATGGAGCAAGGAGCTGGGAAGCCTGATTGGAGGAAGAGATATTTAAAATAGCACAGCAGGTAAGGCATTTGCCTTGCACGCGGCCGCCTCAGCTGACCCAGGTTCGATTCCTCCGCCCCTCTGGGAGAGCCTGGCAAGCTACCGAGAGTATCTCACCCACACGGCAAAGCCTGGCAAGCTACCTGTGATGTATTCGATATACCAAACACAGTAACAAGAAGTCTCATGAAGGAGACATTACTGGACCCGCTCGAGCAAATCAATGAACAACGGGAGGACAGGGACAGTGACTAAATAAAACAACCAGAAGCTGATTAGGTCAAGTACTGCCATAGTCCAGCCAGGAGAGGGCGTTTGCCTTGCAACACCCAGGTTCCCTCCCAGGCATCCCATATAGTCCCCTAAACACCTCCTGGAGTAGTTACTGAGTGCAGAGCCAGGAGTAACCCCTGAGCATTTCTGGGTGTGACCCCAAAAAGCAAAACAAAAGAAAACAAACAAACAAACAAACAAAAACCCTGCCAAGAGCAAAGGGAGAATGGTGGGAGAAGGGGACGAGGTGAGCGTCCCAGGGCAGGGTTGAGCGGGTGCTCACTACACAGAGGTTATGATGATCGCCGACCTTCACAGGGCCCCTCTGTAGCCCCTGAGCATCACTGGGGTGTGGCCTTACGGTCCCCCGCCCCAGTATAGCCCGGCTGTAGGTGTGCAGGTTGGTAAACCCCAAAGTCCATGAGAAGTACTTGGGAACCTCCCCGATCCGCCCGCAAAAAACAAGGGGCAGGGATATGGCTCAAATGGCAGAGCACAAGCCTTGTGCTCCCATCCGAGCACCTTATTTTAAAAAAAGAAATAATCAAACCATCGCGGAGCTTCTCGCGTCCCATACCCCCCTTAGAGCGGTTCCGTCAATGCACGCAGCGGTTTCACCCCATCTCTCATCTTCCACCCCGGCGGGCTCAGTTCTACCCACCCTCCACGCTGTGCTCCAGAATTTCTCAGCACCATCTTGCGGGGCAATCAGCGACACGACCCGCCCCTCGCCCCCTCCCCAACACACACATGCACACACACACACACACAGCCCCGTTACGCACACACGCGCGCGCGCGCGCACACACACACACAGCCCCATTACACACACACGCGCGCGCGCGCGCGCACACACACACACACACACACACACACACACACACAACCCCGTTCCACCAAAAACAAAAGTCACTCACTTTGGAAGTAAACCCCGGAGCAGACCCGCAACACCCGTGGGAGGGAGGCGGGATCCAGGGTGCTCACAAAGTCCTGCAGCGAAGAGGGCTCCATGGCTGGGGTCCGGGCGGTTCGCGGGGCGCCCTGAGACTGCTTCGCTACCCTCACGCGCGCCCCGCCCCGCCCACCCACCCAAGGCCAGCCCAAAGCCCCGCCCACCCCGCCCGAGGCCCGCCCACCCCGCTCCTCGGTCCTGCCGGTCCCCGGACCCAGGCCCAGACCCACGTGCTGTGTGAGGTTGCCCACCGACCCGATGTGCTCAGTAGTCTGTGATGACCCGGGTGGAGAGGATAGGATGAGCAATGTGATGGATGAGCCCCAGAGCATTTCTCTCCCCTCACCCCATACAGTCCTTGAAGTTCTGGGGTTCCTGGGAGAGACACACGTTGAGCTTGGGGCCTGCAGAAGAGGTCCAGGGATCCTGCACCCCGTTCTGGCTGCGCCATGGCCTCTTCTCAACGCCTTCCAGAGGGCAGTGCCCAGCGGACAATTTTAATTCAAAAGTCTCGTTTGAGCTCAAGAGGATCCTGCGTAAGTGCAAGGTCCGGCCCCCATGGCTGGAGCGGCTCCATTTCCAAGTCTCGGGAGTCAGGTCTCAGGGGGATGGCCTCTGCTCCTCGTATTTCTTCATAAATTTAGGCAAATCTCTGATTTTTAAAATCGTGGTTTCCTGACCTGTAATAGGGGTAAGAATCTTACCTTGTGAGCATTAAATGACATGATGTAGGTATTATGTAAGATGCTTGTTTCATTTTATTTTGGTATATAAATCTTCTAATTACAAATAATGAAATTTTAATATGGGAGGAATGAACGCTGATTAAAGGTCTCTAACAAATGAAAAGACATTATTTCCTCCCAACCCCACTTTTTGCTGTGTTTCTTTCTTTTTGACAGCCAGTGCTTAGGGCTAAATCCCAACTCTGCTCAGAGATCACTCCTGGTGGTGCTCAGGGGACCATATGAGGTGCTGGGGATCAAACCTGAATCAACTGAATGCAAAGCAAACACCTGACTCCTGTACTACCTCTCCAGCCAACAGCTGCAACCGTAAGCTGCAAAAATACCTAGTAGTGTGGCTGGAGCAATAGTATAGTTGGAAGGGCACTTGCGTTGTATGCAGCCCACCCCGGTTTATTCCTGGCACCCCTTGTGGTCTCCTGAGTCGCTGAGCACAGAGCCCTAAGTAAGCCCTAAGCACTGCCGCTGTGGCACCTCAAAACAAAACAAAACAAAATTAGTAGTAGAGTTTGGGGCTAGACAGAGCACTCGATGGGCTGAGCACATGCTTTGCACAACAGGAGACCCATGTTTGATACCCAACATTGCATGATTAAAAAGCAGAAGAGTTTATGGGGCTAGATAGATAGTACAGTGAGTCAGGGTTAACCTTGCATGCAGCTAACCCAGATTTGATCTCAGAACCACATATGGTAGCCTGAAACCAGATAGGAGTGATCCCTGAGGGCAGAACTAAGAGTAAACCCTGAGCACTGCCACTGTGACCCCAAATAAAATTATTATTATTATTATTATTATTATTATTATTTGCTTTTTGGGTCACACCCAGCGATGTACAGGGGTTACTCCTGGCTCAGCACTCAGGAATTACTCCTGGCGGTGCTCGGGGGACCATACGGGATGCTGGGAATTGAACCTGGGTCACCCGCATGCAAAGCAAACGCCCTGCCTGCTGTGCTATTGCTCCAGCCCCAATACAAATATATATATATTTTGCTTTGCTTTTTGGGTAACATCCGGCGATGCTCAGGGGTTACTCCTGGCTTTACACTCAGGAATCACTCTTGGTGGTGCTTGGGGGACCATATGGGATGCTGGGAATCGAACCCGGGTCGGCTGCGTGCAAGGCAAACGCCCTAGCCGCTGTGTTATTGCTCCAGCCCCGATACAAATATATATTTTTTGATACAAATATTTTTAAAAAGGAATTTTCCCAGATCTCCCTCAAATAGTTTCAAATCATCTTAATTAGTCTTTTCACCTGTCAGAACTAAGAACTCAACATACGTCTTTTTTTTTTATAGGAGTACTGCTATTTATTCAGCCACTGATTAGCTGATTGAATTGTGCACGAACTCCACCTTACTTTTTTTCCCCCATTTTTTATAATTTTATTTACTGAATCACCATGAGAGCAGTTACAAAGCTTTTGGGTCTAAGTCTCAGTCATACAATGAAACACCTGTACCTTCACCAGTGCCCATTCTCCACCACCAAAAATCTCAGTATACCCCCATCCCACACCCTCCCCCTGCCTGTGGGGCAGATGATTTCCACATTACTCTCTCTCTACTTTGATCACATTCACTATTTCAACACCAGACCCACCATTATTTGAGATTTTACCCCAACACTCAGATCTGCTGAAAAGGCAACAATAGACAATTTGTGTTCTATTGCTGGTTATGAATAACATATGATGTCGTGTGGCTGCAGTAGGGCCATGTGGTTTTGGAATTCTGAAATTTTAACACTTAAATCTGGAGGGATTTCTGCCAAAAGCCACTGGGTTTCGAGATCTGCTCCTGAGTCTCTGGGATCATGGCCGTTGAGCAGCTTGATGAGGAGCCAGAGAGGCTGTTCGTGGGCGATGACTTGGGGTCTCGTTGGGGTGGGGAGGACAGGCCCGGCTCCACCCCCCCCCCATCCCGTGAGGCCCAACAAGTTTCGTCACTGCGGGCCCAAGCCTGACTGTCCAATGGCCTCTGGAGGATGACAGCCACCAAGTCGCCAAGAGGGAGCAGGCGGAGGGACAACACCCTTTCCTCCCTGGGGTGGCCCGGCGACAGTAACGTACTGTGGAGTCTGGATGCATTTCTGCCAAAAGCCACTGGGTTTTGAGATTTGTTTCTGAGTCTCTGGGATCACGGCCGTTAAGCAGCTTGATGAGGAGACAGAGAGGCTATTCGTGGGCGATGACTTGGGGTCTCGTTGGGGTGGGGAGGACAAGCCCGGCTCCACCCTCATCCCGTGAGGCCTTGTGTGTCTCGTCACTGGGGGCCCAAATGTGACTATCCAGTGGCCTCAGACGGATGGCGGCCACTGGGCCACCAGGGGGAACAGGCCAAGGCACGAAACCTATTCCCACCTAGGTTGGCCCAGCACCGGTAGCCTACTGCAGAGACCAGACGCATTTCTACCTAAAGCCACTGGGTTCTGAGATTCGTTTCTGAGTCTCTGGGATCATGGCCATTAAGCAGTTCAATCAGGAACCAAAGAGGCCTTGCCTCCAATTATATAGCTGAGCTGGAGGTGGTTTGTGGGTGTGTTTCCCACATACCTAAATTTTGGGCATTTACTTTCTTGGTGGGCTGGAGCAATAGCACAGCGGTAGGGCGTTCGCCTTATAAGCGGCCAACATGGCCGACCCGAGTTCGATTCCTCCGCCCCTCTCGGAGAGCCCGGCAAGCTACCGAGAGTATTCGATATGCCAGACACAGTAACAACAAAGTCTCCAATGGAGACGTTACTGGGCCCGCTCGAGCAAATCGACGATCAACGGGAGGGCCTTTACCTTTTACCTTTTACTTTCTTGGTAAACTTTGCCCCAAGTTTTTGGGGTCTGGCCAAAGGCACAGCAGCAATTTTGGGGTATCTGTAAGTCTGGAGGTGCCATGAGGCTGCTGATGCACTCGCCTCACAGGTACAGATTGACCTGCTGGCGGCACCATACCCCCTCAACATACCTCTTTATTATATAGATTAAGTTATATTGCAATTATTTTCAGATGATTTTTTCTTTCTCCTTTTTTCTCTCTCTTTCTTTTCTTCTTTATTTTTTCTTTTGGATTTTGGGGCCACAGCAAACAGTACTTAGGTTTGCTCCTGTCTCTGTGCTCAGGGATCACTTGTGGTGAGGCTTGGGGGACCCTCTGGGGTGATTTATTTTAATTTATACTTTTCTGCTTAGAATAAAGAAATTCCTCCTGCAAGTATGGAAAGCAGCTTCCCTTCCTCAGAGCACTGCCACACCAGTGATGTGTGTGATGCTGGTCATAACTAGAGATGCCAAAACACATACATCAGCTTCCAATATGCTGGCTTCAGCTCCTTAATTTCCAGGACACTGGCTCTGACATCAGCCTTGTGGCCTGACCTCTAGACTGTCCCTCTCCAGATCTTCCAGAGCTCCTGTCTCTCCTCCCAGAGGCCCCTTGAAATGAGAAGTCCTGTGAACTCACCTGAAGACTTCCTTTGGGTTTACCTGTTTTCCCACTTATTCTACACTGAAGTCCCATTAGGCGCAAGAGCAATACTATGGCGGGAAGGGTGCCTGCCTAGCATGTAAACAACCAAAGTTCTATCTCCAGCATCCCATACGGTTCCCAAGCACTGCCAGGAGTAATTCCTGAGTGCAGAGCCAGCAGTAACCCCTGAACATTGCTGGGTGTGGCAAAATAAACAACGTAACAAAATAACTAAAGTCCCACCCAGTCTCACATCCTCTCATCCGATCTCTTATCTTCAAGTACCCCAGACTCTCTCTATCTCCCCTAGACTTCACAGGCTTGAGGTTTTCTTGTCAGCGTTTGTTCCTCTATTTCACATTAAGAGGTAGAGATGAGGAAACTGAGAGGGAACAGGGAAATGCCTTTCCCAACACAGCGGGGTGAGGTTCCCCCAGCCTAATTGCAGCTTGGTCCACCCCACCCCCAGTCCCACTCATTTCTGATGTTTCCTATCTCACCAGAATGAGGTAATGGTTTCATTCTTCCTTCCTTCCTTCCTTCCTTCCTTCCTTCCTTCCTTCCTTCCTTCCTTCCTTTCTTTCTTTCCTTTTTTTTTGGGTCACACCCAGCAATGCTGGAGCGATAGCACAGCGGTAGGGTGTTTGCCTTGCACGCAGCCAACATGGCCAACCCGAGTTCGATTCCTCCGCCCCTCTCGGAGAGCCCGGTAAGCTACCGAGAGTATCTCGCCCGCACGGCAGAGCCTGGCAAGCTCCCCGTGACGTATTCGATATGCCAAACACAGTAACAACAAAGTCTCCAATGGAGACGTTACTGGGCCCACTCGAGCGGAGGGCCTTTACCTTTACCTTTTACCCAGCAATGCAGTGGTTACTCC